CACCGGTTGGTGTATGGATTGAAATGTCACTCTTTTTTCGGCGTCAAGTTTCAGTATTGGTTGTAACATGTCACTGGGTTTCAGCACGCAGGCAGGTAAAACACCAGACATATGACAAACAGACTATGTGTTTACACTCAGAGCTGTATAGAGCAGCCCTACAACTTGTATGTCTATGGGGCTGGTTACGCCCACAGACGGGGTTCACATGTGCAGCGTGTGTGTTGTCGAACGGCTTCGACAACACATGCAACTTTCTGCTTACGAGCAGAAAGTTGCTCCATGTTTTTCTGCAAGAAGAGAGACGGACAACAGCCTCCCCCCTCCTCTCAGCGTTAGTCAGTCAGTCTGTGTTAAAAGGACTGGGTCAACATTCCACCGCCCGACTCCTCTTCATCAAAGAACTCCGAGGTCAGAGCTGTGTCTATGTTTCAGCTGGTAAGTTTACGTTTGTTAACGTTACTGCAGCTTAACACGTACATCGCGGTGAATTAAATTAGAATCCATGTAACGCTAACTTTAAGATATTAGTGTGTAAATTTATTACTATTATTATTATTATTATTATTATTAATACGTAGCTAGCTAAACTCAGAAGCTAACTAAAAATTGACAGTAACAGATGAAGCTTAGCTTGTAAAACTGTGCTCATCCTTCGGATCATCTGCTTAAAACGTTCGCCTAATGTTCACCGTTTGTTTATGTTCTCACAGAAGCCTCTGACCCTGATGTGAGGAGGACAAAAGGACAAAAGAACAGTGAGGTGGGGGTGGGGGGGCACAGGACAATCACAAACTTTGTTGTTAAAGTTTGCTGCCTTTTTCTACAGTGGAGGCTCCATGGTGGAGGTAAGTAAACTTTAAAGGATTTTTTATCTCTCAGCCTAGATAATGTTTTTTGAGCAATAATAACACAACCATGTTATTGTTGATGTTTTGTGTTCTCATGTCAATTAGGGAGATGAGAAGAGCCCTAAACCCCAGAGTACCACAGAGAAGATTCAGGAAGAGACACAGAGGTACAGATGTCTGTCATCAACCCTAACCTCAGTGAATCCAGGGACCTGCTGGTGGAATGTAAGGGACACTATGCCAATGCTATCAAACAGACAACTAGGTATCTGTGTCTGCAACAAGCATCATCCACACCCTCAGAGTGAACATTTCCTACTGTTGGAGACACCATCAGCCAGGAGTGGGCTTGTTTGTGTCCAGAGAAAGCAGACATGTTGATTTTTTTTAAAGAAAAATTGTTAAGTGAAAAGGTCCGCAGTGTGTAGCAGTGAACATTAGACAATGATGTGTCACTTGTTGTTTACAACTTTTCTTTTGAACTGGAAATTGTTTTTTTTTTATGTAAGAAAACTGCTGGAAATAGAAATACCAAAGTTAAAAAATAAAACTCACAGTTTGTACTGTAATGTGTAACATAATTTTATTCTTGTAGTAATTACAAAATTGGTACCGAAAAAAGAACCTTCCAGGAACCGACACCGAAGTGAAGGTACTGACACCGGTACCAATACCAATTTTTTTAGAAAGGTACCCAGCCCTAAACAGGACTGGATGTAAAAAGAACATTTAAAAGAAACTGAATCCCTCAAAAGTAAAGATGGGCAGGGGTAAACCAGTTTGAGAAAAGTTGTCTAAAAATTAGTGGAACAGTAAAATTTCAAGTCAATTTTATTGTCATTCACATTACATGTGGTTCATGAGTTGGAATGAAATTATGTACTCAGGGTCCCAGTTACACCCAACAATAGCAAAATATAAAGTATAAAAAGAAACAGTATACAAGGATCTAAGATATATACTAAACAAACGTCAAACGATACGCTAAAAGATCTAAGTTCTATGCTAAACACTAATAATGTAAAACAGAACGACATAGCAGCAGCAGCCCGAATATGAGTCTGTGGTGAGCAGATGGGTATGAATGAATACAGCAGCATGAGATAATCAGCAGCATGAGATCAGCAGCATGAGATCAGCAGCATGGATAATCTGCAGCACTTTCCTCTGGGCTGAAAGCCCAGCCAACAACAAAACTTAATGCCTAAAGCCCCCCAGTATACTCCTGCATACGTCCGTATGCACGTACGTATGCAGAGGTATGAGCGTACCCCCCAGGGCATGTCTGTGCAAAGCTCAATTTTTTTTGACCGCATACGCGGTGTCGCCCAATAAACTGCCCAGCGACGGACTGTTTTGTATGCGACACCTATGTATTAAATTTCACTTCTTCATCCCTGATCTGGCCTTTTCTTTTGTTTTGTTTTTTGCCAAGAGGCAAGTGATCTCTTCCTCCTCCATTGATGCAATGACTGAAATGGTGAGAAATGAAGGAATTTGTCACGAGCGAATTAAACTCAGGTCCAGCGTGGCTGCGGGAGGGTCTGGAGATTTCCTGGTGGGCTGGTCTATTGTGTGGGCTGTAGAGCTAGCGCTCCCTGGTTTTTTTTGGTGGTGGTGGTGGGGGGGGTTAGATCTTTTTATTAACAACATATAAACACAGAACACCGCCGTGGCTGAGGCTGCCAGCGCTCGTTTTTTTCCCCCCACGACCTGTCAATCAATCCAATAGGCGTGTCAGCAAATGACCAATTGGCGACCTCAATTTGTCCCGAAGGTAAACGCCCCTTGTCTGTGAAGCTGCTCTGCAGCACTCGGGGTGTACACTCGAGTACGAAGTCTGAACCCTCTGCGTACAGTACACGCGTACGTACGCATGAACGGACGTACGCGGCAGTATACTGGGGGCATAAGTCAGCATTGCAGCTGATTTCCATTTCTGGGGGAACACCCCGGTTTGCAGCAATAGATTTAACAAGTCACTGATGAGGGTTGCAATGATGTGAGAACTGGTTTTCAAAAAGTAAAGGTCGACCTGATCCAATCCAGCGATTTGCTGACTCATACAAGCTGAAAGGTGCAGGGAGGGGAATGTCTTGAAGCAGGTGGGCTTGAGTCAGAGTATATGGTAATAGATGGAAGAATTTGTTAAATAATTTGGAGCAAGTATCAGTTTGTGCTGACAACATTAAAATACTATGTCTGAAACATTTTACTAACACTTGTAAACCTTTTTTCCTCTACAAAAGTGTCTGCACTTCTGTATTTTTAAAGATAATATCCAGAGCCTCTTTTGGACCTTCAGTCCTGCACACACACACACACACACACACACACACACACACACACACACACACACACACACACATGCTGATGACAGGGAAACCACAGATATGCACTTAAGCACCTTACAGATGTTTGATTTTGATATCCTGTGTTCCAGGGCTTTTACAGTTTTATACTGTTACTTGTTGAACCATGATTTTACTATTTTTAGAATTCAATGTTTTGTCACATTTATTGATTCTTTAAATTTAGATTCTAATTGACTGACTTGGAGAAAACTCACAAGAATTTCAACAAAGTAAAAGTAAAGTGTTATGTGTTGTCACCATTGTATGTTTCCATTCAATGATGAAATCTGTTCTCTGCATGTAACCCATCACACCTGGTATACACCCAGGTGGAGCAGTGGGCAGCTATGTAGGCGCTTGGGGAACAGTTAGGGATTAGGTGTCTTGTTCAGAGACACCACGACATGTGGTAATGGCTGGGGATCGAACCTGGGACTTTCGGGTTCCAAGTCGACTGCCCTGCCTCTACCCCATCTCAGCTTCCTAAATGCACCTGTTCTAAATTCAAAAAGCATTCAATACAAAAACAACTGGACTTTATTTGTAACAGAAGACGTTTCGCTCCTCATCCGAGGAGCTTTCTCAATTCAAACAGCAGTGAGTGAGAGATTCAGGTTATAAGGCTGAGTGAGATAAGACACACATATATGTAGATTGGCAATTCACACATAAACACCTTAACAGTAGGGGTTTCTTAAGCCCCTTATCCACAGGGCCTTTTGGGACTCCTATGTAACTAGTTCGGGTCGATTGTGTGGTTTATCCACAATGCCTTCAGCGGTGGAACCCACCCCATTTTTGGGACCTATTTCTCTGAGGTTCCAGGTCTGGTTCTTGTTGGGTCTAGATGTGACATCAGCGCACTGTAGGTTACTGATTGGTCAGGGGGCGTATTCATTGGTGGAGGGAAGAGATCAAGGAGGTCATCCATTTTAGTTGTGTGTTGTTTTCCGGCTCTTCTTCTTCTAATACATGTTAGTGGTGCTTAGAAAAGAGCTTAATGTAGCACTAGCACCACCAGCTGGTAATGTGTGTTGATATTAATAATCCACCCACTAGAGGTGAACAATTTGCCCACTAAACGGGGACTATGGGCACTGTGGAGACAGAAAAAAAGAGGTCCCACCAGAACCAGACACAACAGGGTCCAACAAGAACCGGCCCTGTGGATAAGGAGCCTTAAAGTCTTTGTTACTCTAATTCACAGACGAGGCCCCTCTGTTCCTATCAAGTGTGAAAACTGGCTGGGAATCAGTCTTAAAGTTGCATTATAGGTTTTTGAAAGTGGAAATCTGAGGCCTCCTCCTCTGTTAAGAGGCAGCTTTTCTCTTTTTACATAAATTGCTTCCTTCACCCCCCTCTCAAACCATCTGTGTTCTCGGTCCAAAAATGTGCACATTTTGGTCCTCGAAAGAGTGTCTCTTATCTGTGAGGTGGAGGTGAACAGCTGAATCTTGTCTGAAGCTGAAGCAGCTCTCCTGTGTTGAGCCATGCGTCTGTGAAGAGGCTGTTTAGTTTCTCCAATGTAGAGGTCTGGACAGTCCTCGCTGCACTGGACCGCATACTCTACACCACTCTGTTTATGTATGGGTGTTTTGTCCTTAGGGTGGACCAGTCTTCTGTAACAGTCTTCTGTTACAAATAAAGTCCAGTTGTTTTTGTATTGAATGCTTTTTGAATTCATCATGTCCTGGATGACTGAGAATCTTCACCAGCACCTGTTCTAAACTTGTACAAATGACAATAAATTATATTCTAATAAACATTGATGCATTCATTCTTGTCTGTTTTGCAGGATTTTTGAGTTCCGTAAGTTCATTGGGGACAGAGAAAAGTGCAAGTCTCTAGTATCCGAGGACTATCCAGTTTACATTAACAAGGTCTGACAATTATTACTTCTTAAAGAACAACTTGTTGTCCTTTTAGTCTCATGTTTTGGTCTGCTTTGTTTTCAGACAGAGGAGCTTACTGATTGTTTCATCCACGATGGCTTCTTCTTCTCTCCTCTGGAGCATCTGGTGCCAGGAATCTTGCCACAAGAGGCGGTCAAAGCCAGGTACAAACCACTACAAGTGATGAACCCTGTAATCACCTGAGTCTTTGGATAAAAAAAATGTTCCAACATTAGAAAGAAATATACAGGGGATGTCAAAAAGTATCACACCCACTCAGTAAAATATCAGGAGTTTGTGGTGTGAAAATTAAACCTTTTATTTCAAAACTTTTTTGCTTTCATCGCGACATACTAGGGCTGGGCAATATAGACCTAAATGAATATCTCGATATTTTAAGATAAATCGTGATACACGATATACCGTAATTTCTGGACTACAAAGTGCACCTGTGTATAAGCTGCACATACTGAATATAAGATAAATCATAATTTTGTACATAAATAAAATGCACCGGCTGTTAAGCCGTAGGTATTCACTGTACAGTGAATGTAAGTGGCCAGCTTTGTCTGTGCTGTACTTGTTGTAGTACACTTGATGGCGATCACAGACTATGGCTTGCTTCTAACATACACTAAGCTTGAGTGATCATCCTAGGTATACTTAAAGCTTCAGGTTTTGACTCATTGTAACAAACATTATACCTTTAAAATGAAAAAATACTGGTAAATATCTACTGGTAAGCATAATCACTGGACATAAAACACTAAAAATAGGCATACAAGTGTCAAAACACCTACGTAACTGAACTTATTAAAAAATTATATACACCTGGAAATATTACCCAGAAGTCTTAACAGGGTCATGTGACAGGAAGTGAAATGCTCCTCTCTTGGATAAATTTGGGCCCCCCATTTAATGTGGGGTCTACTTCCCCCTGTCGCGCTCCCCTCCGGTGGTAGGCTCCCCTGCCGCCGGTGTATCGGCGGCTCTCAGCATCTGGGACTGGAAGGTGGGGTGTGTGCAGGCCCGCCCTGGTGGCTGCCTGCCAGGGCCTGGGTGCCCTGGCTCTGTCGGGCCTCTGTTGGGGGGTGGTATGACCTTGGGACTCGGGGCTTGGTGTCCTTGGCTGGATCTACTTTGGAGGGGCAGGTTGCCAGTGGGGCCTGTGGAGTCGTCACTGCAGCCTCCTGGGCTTTCTGCATTGTGGTTGCTGGGGATCACCCGGGGCTTCCCTTTGCTTCTCTCTCTCGTGGTGTGCGGGTGTCCCTGTTGGGGGACTCCCGGAGCTCCGGGCTTGGGGATTGCTGTATGTCTGTGGCTCCAGTCTTCCCTGTGTTACCATCGTGTCCTGTGGGGACGGGTCTATGGGTCCCCACATCCACTATTAAACATTTTTATGGAGAAACCTTATAGTGACAAGCATGCTCACACAGGTATTTTGATTCAGGTATTTATCGGATACACACTCAATTGGGTTGTATTGGCCACTAAATATATCTTGTATTACCATTTACTGTATAAAATACTTTCTAATGATGTTATAAGTATTATATATGTTGCTTGTTGTTGTGGTTTCTTGGTTTTGTCTTGTTTTTTTTTTATTCTTTCCGCAGGTCTAGAGGCAGACTTCAATGATGTTGATTTGTGTTCTCTTTATACCTCTCTCCCTCCTCTATTCCTATCTCCTTCTTTACCTTTTAACCCTTCTCCCACTTTTTTGCTTTGTTTTCTTCTTTGTTTTTCATCCCCATGTCCATTACATCTGAAACAAACCCAAAGTAAATTCTAATAAAGTTCTATTTATATATCAAGTGGAGCATTAATGCCAGCCATAATGCTCTGCTTGTGAAAGTAAATCTGTTGGGCATCACCTTGACACTCAGACAATAATTCTGAGTGTCACAATGCCGAACAGGAGGGGGGGGGGGGGGGGGGAGGAAGTGAAATACCATAGTACAGATAAAATATGGTACCGGTAAATATTCATTAAATTACCATACCATACCACTTTATTTATAAAGCACTTAAAACAGCTACAAGGCCAACCAAAGTGCTGTACAGACAAAACAAACAGGTAACACACAAAGCAAAATACAAAATGAAGTGAATCAGAATATAGACATAAAAACAATGCAGATAATAAATATGACGACAAACCAGTGTGGAGCATACAGGTTCAAAACACAGATCATCTGGTGTTGAAAGCTACTGAATAGTAGTGAGTTTTTAAATGGGACTTGAAAACTGAGAGGGAGGGAGCCTGTCTGAAAAACAGAGGTAACTCGTTCCAGAGTCTTGGTCCTGCTACAGAGAAGGCCCTGTCACCTCTGCGCTTAAGACGAGTTCCTGGAACTGTGAGGAGCAGCTGGTCCGCTGACCTCAGGGAACATGGTGGGACATACAGTTGTAGCAGATCAGAGAGATGGGGGGCCAACACTATTCAGTGATTTGTAGACATACATGAGTATTTTGAACTGGATTTGAAAGTGAACCAGTAACCAGTGCAGTGAGGCCAAAACTGGTGTAATGTGCTCTCTTTTGCCTGTACTGGTTAAAAATCGGGCTGCTGCATTCTGGACCAGTTGTAGTCGTGCAATGGAGGTCTGACTGATACCAAACAGGAGCGAATTGCAGTAATCAAGCCTAGATGTAATGAGTGCATGTATTACTGTCTCCAGGTTATTTTTGGACAATATGGGCTTCAGTTTAGACAGCCGCCTCAGTTGGAAGAAACATGATTTAACAATCATGTTTACATCAATCAACCTTTATTTATACAGGTAAATCCCATTGAGCCTCGAGGACTCATTTACAAGAGAGACCTGATTTCAACAAAGAATTGTTACAATTGTTAATTGTACATGATTGTTAAGCTTCAGGGAAGGGTTCATTATCACGCCCAAATTAGTGATTCTTTGTTTTTCTGACAGGTTTAGAGCGGAGAGTTTTTCTGACAGGGTTAGAGCGGAGAGGTCGATACAGTGGTTTGTGATTGTGTCGTTGGGAGGGAACAACATGACTTCAGACTTCTTTTCATTGAAACTCAAGAAATTTAAAGCCATCCAGTCCCTGATGTCAGCCAGGCAGTTGAGCAGCGGTTGAATAGAGCATGTACCATTGTGTCTTAGGGGGAAGTAAATTTGACAGTCATCGGCATAGAAATGGAAGGGCATGTTGTGTTTCTGGAAAATAGCACCAAGCGTCAGCAGGTATAAAGAGAATAGGAGGGGACCCAGGATGGACCCCTGCGGAACCCCCCATTTAAGCTCTGCCTCTGCGGAACTAAAATCCTTGATGGAGACAAAAGGATCTGTCAGTGAGGTAAGATCTAAACCAATTGAGGGCTGATCCTGTGACGCCCACCCACTGCTCCAACCTAGCAATGAGGATCTCATGGTCGATGGTGTCAAAGGCAGCTGTGAGGTCCAACAGGACAAGCAGCACAGAATCACCGGTATCTGTGAATCTGAAGATGTCGTTAAAGACCTTCAGCAGGGCAGTTTCAGTGCTGTGGAGAGGTTTAAAGCCAGATTGGAAAAGCTCTAAGATGGCGTGATCCTCCAGGAAGCACTTGAACTGGGACTTGATTATTTTCTCCAGTACTTTAGAAACAAATGGGAGTTTGGAGACAGGCCGGTAGTTGGAAACGACTGAGGGGTCAAGGTTTGTTTTTTTCAGGAGAGGCTGGACGGCAGCATGTTTAAAGGATTTTGGCACCATGCCAGTGGATAAACTACTGTTTACTATAGCCAGAATGGACGGACCTAGAGTTGGAAAAACCTCCTTTAGTAGTCGAGGGGGGACCACATCAAAGGGGGAGCCAGAAGGTTTCAAGCTGCACATGACCTGCTCTAGAGAAGATAAAGTGATGGGTTCAAAATGGTCAAAAGGAGCTACAGATTGAGGTGGGATGGATGGGTCATGAGTTGGAGGGGAAATGAGAGCCCGGGTGGTCGCAATTTTTTCCAAAAAGAAATGTAAGAAGTTGTCGCACAGCTCAGTCGAGGCTTCCATAGGTGATGGTTCAGTGAGGTGGAGAACAGAGTTTAGGGTGGAGAAGAGGACACGTGGGTTGTGAGAGTTTGAGGTAATTATATCAGAGAAGTATTTGGATTTAGCAGCTTTCACTGCTTTCTGATAACGGCGCCAACTCTCTTTAAGTATTTGAAAAGAGACCTGCAGCCTGTCTTTCCTCCACTTTCGCTCCGCTCTCCTACATTGCTGCCTAACGGCCTTGGTGACGTCACTCAGCCAAGGTTCTGCTCTGAGTTTTGATTATTTGGTTTTAACAGTTGCGACATGATCCATAGTCTTTAAGCAGACAGAGTTGAACTGGGATGTCAGCTCCTCAGTGGTGGGGAGAAACACTGGGGCCTGAATTATCATTTCAGAGTTTTAAACATCTGTGAAACGTGCAGCAGTGAAGTGGTTAATGGTCCGGGTGCTACGTGCAAAAATGCACGGCTTAGGAGTTAGATGGGGGAGGGTGAACTCAAACTGGACTGGCATGTGGTCTGAAAAAACATTATCACCAATAACAAGATTATTAACAGTCATATTATGAGTTAAAACAAGGTCCAGTGTATGTCCACACTCTTGGGTGGGACCGTTTACATGCTGAGTTAAATTAAATGAGTCCAATAGATCTAAAAAGTCCTTAACCAAGGGCTTCTCCAGACAGCACACATGCAAATTAAAGTCCCCAATAATGAAAACATGCTCATATTTTGGTGCGATTTTAGCCAAGAAGTCAGAAAACTCATTTTTGCAATCCTTAGACCGAGGTGGGCGGTCGACGAGTGCAAATAAAGTCTGAGGTGAATGTCCGAGTTCAAAGATGCTCAGCTCAAAGCTGGAGCAGGAAACTGGGATGGGCAGTTGTTTACAGTCAAAAGTTGATTTGAATATTGTTAATTATCCACCACCGCGCCGGCTTGATGGCCGCGGGGCGTTAAAATACAAACAGTTCGGTAGCAATAATTCCGTCAAGGCGCTGGACTCACCCTGAGACATCCAAGTCTCTGTGATACACAGAAAGTCCAAATCGTGCTCTTGAAAGTAATCCCTGAGGACAAAAGTTTTGTTGGTAACAGATCTTGCGTTGACCAAACACATCCAGATATTGTCCGAAGTGGAGCCAGCAGCTGTGGAGTTAGCGCGC